AAACAGCTTGAACTCAATCTCTAGATACAATCAGCAGGGTAAGTATCCTTGAGAAAGTACAGTATATGCTTCCACAAGGTCAGGTCTTTAAAGACTAAACATAGAGATTCTAGCAAAACATCCCGGGGGACCGGACTTGTTCGGAAAAGTCAAGGTAGGGTCCCGCCTTCGGCAAGGTCCCCCCAGAGGCCCCCGACCGTTCGGAGAATCCTCCTTACATTCATCCAAGTCCCGTGCGTCCCCAAAAAGAAGCAGTGACAGAGTCCATTATTTTTTAACATAATTTCTTCCTTAGAAAAATGTTGCCAAATAGGACAAAGAATCCCCAGGTACGTTTTAGCCTTCCCCTTTTGATATTTATGCAGCTCTAACAGAGAAAACTGCTCCTGTTGTCCACAATACATGTACTTCTTTGCTCAGTCCTAGAATGTACACAATGCCGTTTCAAAATTACTGACCTATGTCTGAAAAAAGCCTACTGATTAGAATTCAATGTAAGTTTCAAGATCTTTCTGTCTTCAGCCTGAGGGCATAAAGTAAATAGTCTTCATTACTTGGGTTAGTTATAGCCCCTTTCTGTGTATGTTATTCACTTATTTCTTTTTTTATTAATTTTACAGCTTCCCCCCAAGCTTCGTTTTATTAATTTATTTTCTGAGAATATAAAACACTGACTTCCAATCATTCATTTTATAAATGGCTTGGGAATGTGAGATGCTGGTTCCAAGACCACTGAGTGAACAGCAGGGCTGGGGAGAGGACTCTTTCCCTTGGGTGTTGGGGGTACCAGCTTCCACAGTGGTCCTGTCTCCATTTTACCACCTTCCGTCAAAACTCTGGGCTTCTCCAGGTCTGGTCATTGGTGTTCATTAGGGTCCTGTAGCTGGACTTACTTAGGTAGCTGGTTGGATTTATTATGGCTTCAAATTTGTGTAGTGTCAGCTCCTTTTCAGTGATTTACATAAGACCCTCCCAGTCCAGTCTGGCAGTTTCTTACAAAGTTACACTTACAAAACCAGTCATCCCATCCAAGAGAAATGAAAGCACATGTCTACATAAAGACCTTTACACAAATAATTATACTAGTTTCATTCCTGATCACCAAAAAGGGGAAACAACCTAAATGTCCATTAAACGAATGAATGAATGGTCATGCATTCATACAATAGAATACTACTGAAATAAAAGGGAACACACTCCCAGTACATGCAACACATGGAAAAACCTCTAAAGCATTATGCTGAGTTAAAGAAGAAACGTTCTGGAAAAGACAAAACTCAAGAAGTTAGGAAAGTGATTGCCAAGGGCTTGAGGGTAGGGGACAGTGATTGACTTCAAGGGAATTTTTTGTTTGATGGGAATCCATAATAATAAAAGCACAGTACGCTAATTAGACCAGATGTCCTTCTGGACATCCTTCCTTCCTGACAAAGCCAGGCAGGGGAGGAGCCCCTTGCACGAATTTCGTGCATCAGGCCTCTAGTTTTATATATTTAATTGTGGCAATGGTTACAGGATGGTATATGTTTGACAAATATGTAGACAGTTCAACTAAGAAGGTTAAATTTTACTGTGTGTAAATTATACCTTAATAAATCTGACTTTAAAAAACAAACACTCAGCATACCAATTCTACTCTCTCTTACCCTCACCTCTGGTCTGGATCTCTAATTCTAGGGGGAAATGCAGCTCTTTTACTGGTTATGGGAGCCCTCTGGGGGAAAAGATTAGGATGTGTTAGGTGTGAGGTACCTGTGGGACACCCTGAGAAATGATATAATGAATTGGCATTTCAAAGAAAACTAATAAGCCAGAGAGCTTAATATGGATAGAAGTGAGGGAGGAAGAAAAAACTGGCCGGAAAAAAAGCTGGGGGTGGTGCAATTTAACTAGGTCCTTGACTGGGGTTTTCTTTAAAAGGGTGGATTCACTCATTCCCTCTCAACATTTATGGAGTAGCTCAATTGTTGGACACCGGGGTGCAACAGTGCCATCTAGTGATAAGATGTAGGGATAAGATGGAGAAGAGACTAATAAATAATGATTGTAAATTGGGAAGTGAGTGCCAAAGCAAATCAGCAGGTGTGGTGACTGGGAAGTGCAGGGGACCAGCATCCAGAGCAGCGTAGATGGCAAGAGACCTGCTGAGAACTTCGGATAAGGAGACATTGTCAGAGGAAGGGAAGAAGGAGAGCTTGACAGCAAAGGTCAGCATGGCTGGAGGTGGTGGTGCAGGGGTTAATGATAGGTGATGAGCTTGAAGAGGAAGAGCCTTGGGGCTCCATTGGGGTTCTGCAGCCATGGGGAGCTACTATAGTTTTACAAGCACAGGAGTGGCATGATCAGATCTGTGATTTATAGGGGCGCTGGCTGCAAAATGGATCCTGGATGGGAAGGTAGTAGCCAGGAGGCCTATTAAGGTAATGGTGAGATCATGCAGGTGACCGATGGTAATGGCCAAGGGAAGGAAGAGAAGTGGAGAGGTTTGAAGGCTATAGGTAGAACTGTCAAGATTCGGTAATTGAATATTGGAATAGAGCGGGGAGGCAAAAGTCAAAGACGGTACCTTGGACTCTGGTTTGGGTGGGTGGGTAGATGGTGATGTCATCCACTGAGGGGGAGCAGGTTCAGGGGAAGAGATTAGGATGTGTTAGGTGTGAGGTGCCTGTGAGACACACAAGTGGAGAATTCATAAGGCAGTTGGATACATGAGTCTGGAGCTCAGAAGAGCAAATGTGAATGGAAGGTGAAGCCCTGGGCATGGTTGGGAGTGCCTGAGGAGAGGGACCAGCTAGTAAACCAGGTAAAAAACCCTAAGTCACAACATTTAAGGGAGAAAAATATAACTCAAAAATGAGGCTAAGAAAAATGGTCTAGAGAGCTAGGAAAAAAAACACACAAAGGCATAGGAAGAAATGAATGAGAAATATTTTTTAGTGCTATTAAAAGGTCAAGTAAGATAAGGGTGGGGAAGGGTCAATTAGATTTAGCATCAGGGAGGTGGTAATCTTGGTGAGAAGAGTTCCAATGGAGAAATTGAAGCCAAAACCAGACTGCAGAGTAACTACGAAGTAAGCCAGCAGTCCAGCCCAATTCCTAAATAATACAGATTCCAACCTCTCATTTGATTACAAAAAAAAAAAAAAATTCTAATGATCCAAAGACTTAAACATAAAAAACAAAGTAATAAAAGCACTAGAGCCCTGACTGGTTTGGCTCAGTGGATAGAGTGTCGGCCTGTGGACTGAATGGTCCCAGATTTGATTCCGGTCAAGGGCATGTACCTTGGTTGCGGGCACATCCCCAGTAGGAGGTGCGCAGGAGGCAGCTGATTGATGTTTCTCTCTCATCAGTGTTTCTAACTCTCTATCCCTCTCCCTTCCTCTCTGTAAAAAATAAAAATAAAATAAAATAAAAGCACTAGAGCCAAGCAGGTATGGCTCAGTGGTTGAGCATCAACCTATGAAACAGGAGACCATGGCTCGATTCCTGTTCAGGGTATATGCCCAGATTGTACGCTTGATTCCCAGTGGGGGGCGTGCAGAAGGCAGCTGATCAATGATTCTCTCTCATCATTGATATTTCTATCTCTCCCTCTCCCTTCCTCTCTGAAATCAATAAAAATATATTTTAAAAAAACACTAGAAAATATGATATTTAAAAAAATTATCTTAGTTGGAGAAGACTTCCTAGTATGACACAAAACACAAGACAGTAGAGAAAAGTCTGATAAATTTGACTCTCTTAAATATTTTTCTAAGCTGTCACAAAACAACATAAATGAAATAAAACCAAATTATAAACTATTAAACTTTTTGAACTCATATTTTGGATGAGGACCAGTTTCTTTAATATATTTACAATTCAATAAGGAAAACTAACAACTCAGTAGAACAAGGAGGCAAAGGAGATGAACACTTCATAGAGAAGAAAACACAAATGGCTCTTGAACATAAAAACAGACACCCGACCACATTCAACATAAGGGGGGAAATTTAAACCACATCGTGATTTTTTTTTCACCTATTAGATCAGCTTCGTTGTCTGATAATTGTGAGAAACAGGCACTGTCATACACGCCTGATGGGATTGTACATTTGGACAACCTTTACGGAGGACAATTTGGCAATACTGCCCAACATTACCCATGCGTATACTCTGACACAGCAATTATGCTTCTAGAAATTTACCCTCCAGATTTACTTGCATTGTGTAAAATTATGAATTCACTGTAACTATGTAATGGCAAAGATTAGAATCATTTTTGTATAGAAAAACATGGGCTAAGGATATTACATTGTGTCTATCCTTACCGGTGTCTGATCCTGTAGGAAGTTGAGGAAACGGGACTAGAGTTCCATGAGAGCACAGATATAAATGTATCTTGGATAGTCACCCGTTAGGGGCAGAGATCAGAATGAGAAAGGATCAGTTCATCATAGAAAAGAGTGGTCTGGACGTTCTGAGGGCCAAAATTTATTCATTTCTGTATGCCCAGGATCAAACATTGGTATATAAATGAAAGAGCTGGAGAGCCCAGGAAAGGTGAAGAAAAGAGAGAAAGGAAGCCGAAATGGTGTGGTGATACGAAAACCAGAGAGGGAGTCGGAGACTGCGCTGGGCAGAAGAGAACCCTCCTGGGCCGGAGCGACAGTGCAGACTTCTGAATCAGACCTGGATGTGCTCCGCCTTTGGGCGTCTCGTGCTGTAGGAAAACAGACCTTCAGTTTCCTTATCGGACTTGGAGGGAGTTGTATTTCACATCTAAAGACCCGGCTCCAGCGCTGCCGCGTAGACGCCCAGACTCCCCGCACCCTTTCCGCGTCAGTCTCCCAGGAGACCAGCGGCACTTCCGGCAGAGCAGGCGCGTCCTCGGAAGCCCCGCCCCTTCTCAGTGGGCGGCGCTGATTGGCCCGTTTGAAATGTGCCGGGCGCAAGCTCACCTGGGCTCGCCGTCGCGCCGCCCGGCTCCACTGAGCGCAGCGCTTCGGCCCCCGCGTCCGGGCTTCCGCGGCGCTGCTCTGCGACTCGCCGTCCCCGCCAGGCTTCCCCGTCCAGCCCGGTGTCCGCGTGCGCGTCTGGGCAGCGCGGAGCTTGCTGCCATGATGAAGCCAGCGTGAGTACGGGGCCGGGAGCGGGCCGCGGGGATGGGGCGGGCGTCTCCTCACGCCGCGGACCCTACATGCTCCATGGAGTCGGGCGCGGCGCGGGGACCCGGCCGGGGAGGTCGGCCCCAAGTCGGGGGAGTGGGGAGGCTTGTGCCATGCCGCCGGTTCCCGGTAGCTGGGCCGCCCCCGCCAGGCCTTTCTGAAGTCGCCCCTTTCCCTCCTGGCCGCCCGCGCTCTCAGGCGGCATTTTGCCGAGTTAGTGCGGGTCGTGTCGTGGGTGGGGTCGAGTGTTGAGCGCCGTGTGGGGGCCGGTTCGGGGGTCCCAGGCCCTGGCTTCGTGAGCGCTGCGGGCGTTCCCCCTGCCGGCGCCGGGGCCTGGGGCCGAGCCCAGCCCCGGTGGAGGCGGGTGGCTTCACCCGGTCCTCCGGCCGCAGACGGACCCGCCCACATTCCTCGCTGCCTCGGGGACTTGCTCCGCGCAGCGCAATTCCCGGACCGCTGCTGGGCAAACAGAATTGTGCAAGGAAGAGGGTCGGTGTTACCATGATTACCGTCATCTGCAAAAGGCAGCTTGGTTTTCTTAAGAGGCAAAGCTCAAAATCCTTTATCTTTTCTTAAAAACGTTCAATGTTAAGTAAACCTATCACAATTATCTTGCACTTAAAACACTAATTTGCTTCTTTTCATTTGGGAAAATGTTGAGAAAATAGTTTCATAATCTGTAGCCAAAGCCAATCATTTCACGTGATTTTAGTGGTAAGTGTTCAGCCTGTAGATAAATTGGAGTGGGGGGGGGGGCAGGCATCCTAGAGAAATAGTGAAATAAATCAGAACAGCTTTTTCTGTTGTCCCTACTGATAAAATTTCAACTGGGTAAATTTTAAAATTTTATGGGCTTTTACTCAACAGTTCGTGAATTGGGGCGGGGGGGGGGGGGGGGGTTCCTCATTTAACAGCTAGAAAGACCTGAGGAACTACATACAAAATGGGAGACTTTTTTTGCATTTATTTTTTAAGTTTTATTTTATTGTTTAAAGTATTACAAATAGTAGTAGATATGTCTTCTTTTTTCCCCATTGACCTAAATCCGGCCTCTGGTACATGCCCTCACCACCACCACCCCACCCCCAGTGTCTTGCGTTCATTGGTTATGCTTATATGCATGCATACAAGAGACTTTTCTAGGCTGAAAGGGGCAGGAAGAAGCAAAGAGCAAGCACCTTCCTTTGAGGGACCACAGGGATCTGTGAAGGCGTTTACCTCATTGATGCTGACTGAGAAATTCCATACTGACTGGCTGAGATTGTATTCCTGGGAGAGACTAAACTGCTATTAGGTATTAAGTCTTGGTTTGGTGATGTGGGCTTAGCACAGGTGGCTCCATTTGAGGCCTGTTGTGTGCATTACATTATTTAAGAGCAAGAAATTGCAGTTTGGCGACCACATTTTGTTTGGGGGACAAAGGATGATAGGTTTTAAGAATTCAGTGACCTTGAAAGTATAGACATAGGGAGAAACCAAGATGGCGGCATAGGTAAACACCGGAAATTGCTGCCTCCCACAACCACTTCAAAAATACAACTAAAAGACAAAACCGACATCATCCAGAACCACAGGAAGGCTGGCTGAGTGGAAATTCTACAACTAGAAGGAAAGAGAAAAGCACACTGAGACTCAGGAGGTGCAGAAGTAAAGTGCAGAGGTACGGAGGCTCGAGCGTGCGGAAAGGGGCTGGCAACGGAGGACGCCGGTGTCTTTTGCAATTCAGTGATGAATAGCAAGAACCTACAACCAAGATTACTTTACCCAGCAAAGCTATCATTCAGAATTGAAAGTCAAATAAAGAGCTTCACTGATAAGAAAAAGCTAAAGGAGTTCATCACCACCAAACCAGTATTACATGAAATGCTGAAAGGTATCCTTTAAGAAGAGGAAGAAGAAGAAAAAGGTAAAGATACAAATTATGAACAACAAATACACATCTATCAACAAGTGAATCTGAAAATCAAGTGAATAATCTGATGAACAGAATGAATTGGTGATTATAATAGAATCAGGGGCATAGAACGGGAGTGGACTGGCTATTCTTGGGGGGGAGAGAGGTGTGGGGGATGCAGGAAGAGACTGGACAAAAATGCACTTATGGATGAGGACAGTGGATGGGGAGTGAGGGAGGAGGGTGGGGTGGGAACTGGGTGGAGGGGAGTTATGGGGGGGAAAAAGAGGAACAAATGTAATCTGAACAATAAAGATTTAATTAATAAAAAAATTATGAACAAATACATATCTGTCAACAAGTGAATCTAAAAATCAAGTGAATAAAAAATCTGATGAACAGAGTAAACTGGTGAATATAATAGAACCAGGGGCATAGAAAGGGAGTGGACTGACAATTCTCAGGGGGGGATAGGGGTGTGGAGGGTGTGGGAAGAGACTGGACAAAAATAGTACACATACAAATGAGGACAGTGAGGGGGTAAGGGCAGAGGGTGGGGTGGGAACTGGGTGGAAGGGAGCTATGGGGGGGAAAAAGAGGAACAACTGTAATAATCTGAACAATAAAGATTTATTTTAAAAAGAAGTAAAAAAAAAAAAAGAAAGTATAGACATAAACCTTGATGAAAGAATGGATTCCTCCACATGTTTTTATAATTTATTGAAGTTAACCACTTGTCAGTCTACCTTGGGCAATGGCTGTTGGTGCAGCGAGTGTGCTTGTGTACACACATAAATGTGTTTTGAGGTAAGTGGTCATTTATCATTAGAATTTTCAAACTTGTAGTGCCTCTGTAAAATTGTCACTCAAGAAAATATCCCAGCTATTTTAACTATAAAGTAGGTACATTTAGTACCAAAAATGTCTCCTAAACCAAATTTTAATTATATTTGGATTATGCATGCCACAAACACTACTAATGCAATTTATTATTATTTTTTTAATGCTATTTATTCTTGTGTTAGTTATTTAGGGTGTAGTGTTTTGGAACTGCTCAGGAATAATTTATAAACCTTGGAAGTTTTTCTCTGTATGAATTATAAGTGAGGTTTTTGAATGTTAGTGCTGAACTGAAATGTTTTGTGTGGTTTTTTTTTATCTCTGACCAGGAGGACTAAAACACCCAGGAAACCTGTAGGGAAGAAAGGATCCCAAACGAGTCTTAAAGACCCAGTTGGGGTAAGGTCTTCCTGTGAATTTGTGTGTGTTCTTTCTTCATTCCTTTTATGTCTTATGTGTATGCTTGGAATGGATGGAGATGTGGAAGTGGAGTCAAAAGAACATTTAGTTAAAAGAACTGTACTAAATTGCTTAAGGCTGGTTCCAGCTTTCTAATTTTGTTTCTACATATGATTCATTAGTTCAGAAAAATGAAATTTTTAGTTGTCAACTACATGCTATAGTTGACTATAACTAATTATAATTTGAAGAGTTAGATAATGAAAAATATTCAACTATCCCAGAGAATTCTTCATACTCTGTAAGATGGGAGAAAACTTTCTGCTTGGACGAGCATCCTCTCCCATCTTCTGGACCAGTGGTCGGCAAACCGCGGCTCGCAAGCCACATGCGGCTCTTTGGCCCCTTGCGTGTGGTTCTTCCACAAAATACCACGTGTGGGCGCGCACATACAGTGCGATTGAAACTTCGTGGCCCATGCGCAGAAGTCGGTTTTCAGAAAGGAGATAGACGAAACAAGTATATAAGACGAGTGTGGATGGGAGAGTTGGAAGGGGTCGACCTCAGTGAACTACCTCAATCAGATTAAGGACGTTTTTAGCAAAGGCCAGCTTAGGAGTACCCTAATTAAGTTAATAACAATGTACCTACCTATATAGTTTAAGTTTAAAAAATTTGGCTCTCAAAAGAAATTTCAATCATTGTACTGTTGATATTTGGCTCTGTTGACTAATGAGTTTGCCAACCACTGTTCTGGACTGTAACACACCAATTGATGGCACGCTTCATGAGGAAAGCCCCAAACTCCATACTTTATGGGACCAAGTTTAAGACTGATATAGAACAGTTTAATTCAGTCTAATGACTATTCATAATTGCATGTACTTCACTAGTTTCAGGCTTTCAAAAGCAGGTGATAGCACTGGACGGTGTGGGTCAGTGGTTGGAGCGTCAGCCCATGTACCAAAGGGTCGTGGCTTTGATTCCTGTCACAGGCTCATACCTTGGTTGCAGGTGATGATCCCTGGTCCTCCTGGTCAGGATGCAGTTGATATCTCTCACATTGATGTATCTCTCCCTCTCCCTCTCTTCTCCCTCCCTCTTTAGTTTCTAGAACAGTGATGGCGAACCTATGACACGCGTGTCAGAGGTGACACGCAAACTCATTTTTTTGGTTGATTTTTCTTTGTTAAATGGCATTTAAATATATAAAATAAATATCAAAAATATAAGTCTTTGTTTTACTATGGTTGCAAATATCAAAAAATTTCTATATGTTACACGGCACCAGAGTTAAGTTAGGGTTTTTCAAAATGCTGACACGCCGAGCTCAAAAGGTTCACCATCTCTGTTGTAGAACATCAATAGAAACAATATCCTTGGGTGAGGATTAACAGCAACAACAAAAGGCAGGGGGCAAACATAGGACTGTTGATTTGCTCTGGAATATTTTATTTTCATTTTTAAATATTTTTTAATTGATTTTAGAAAGAGGAAGGGAGAGGGAGAGAGAGATAGAAACATCAATGATGAGAGAGAATCATGGATCGGCTGTCTCCTGTACACCCCCTGCTGGGGATCAAGCCTGCAACCCGGGCATGTACCCTGACTGTGAATCAAACTGTGACCTCCTGGTTCATAGGTTGATGCTCAACCACTGAGCCACCCTAGCCGGGCTGCTCTGGAATATTTTAAATCTCCCCTTCACTGGTACTGGAATGTGTCTCTTGGTCTGAGGGAACCACATACTCTGCACATAGAGCTAAACAGTTTTTTCTCAACACTGTCATTGATTAAGAAAACCACATTTCAGATCTTGCATCTACTTATGTATACATTAAGTGTTAAGCTGGCAAGTTTTAATTGACATTCAGTTCCAAAGAATTTGAACAGATTTTCAAATAATGCTCATTGTGTGATATGTTATTGATTTTTAGAGTTTTAAATTAGTAGTATAACTTTATTAAATTTGTGCCAATACAATACTGAAAAGAAGCTTTGGGTTTGATACTTTTGTTACCAAAATGTTTTAGATTTATGTGCATTTAAAATCTCTCATATCACCTGGCTAGTGTTTCTCAGTGGTTGAGCATCGACCCGTGAACCAGGAGGTCATAGTTCGATTCCCATTCAGTACACATGTCTGGTCAATCCCCATTTGGGATGTGCAGGAGGCAGTGATGATTCTCTTTCATCACTGATGTTTCTATCTCTTTCTCCCTCTCCCTTCCTCTCTGAAATCAGTAAAAATATACTTTAAAAATAAGTAATAAAATCTCTTATATCATATCTAATATCTGTATTTAACAGTCTTGGGTAGCAATTTTCATAGCTCTAAGTTTATTATATTGATCTCTTAATTTAAGATACCAAATATTTGTTGAATGGATGAATAGGAAGCTTAAATGAAAAATCAGGTAAAAAGTCAACTTTTGTTCTTCAAATACTTCCTTGTATTTTCAGGTATATTGTAGGGTGCGCCCACTGAGCTTTCCTGATCAAGAATGCTGCATAGAAGTGATCAATAACACAACCGTTCAGCTTCATACTCCTGAGGGGTACAGACTCAACCGAAATGGAGACTATAAGGAGGTACTTCCTATTGAAACCAAGCTGTTTTTACTTGATATGTTCTTTCCTGAATGGCTTTTTTATTTTTTTTAATTTAACAAAATTCATGTGTTTTTTAATTTTTTTTAAAATATATTTTATTGATTTTTTTACAGAGCGGAAGGGAGAGAGATAGAGAGTTAGAAACATCGATGAGAGAGAAACATCAATCAGCTGCCTCCTGCACATCTCCTACTGGGGATGTGCCTGTAACCCAGGTACATGCCCTTGACCGGAATCGAACCTGGGACCTTTCAGTCCGCAGGCCGACGCTCTATCCACTGAGCCAAACTGGTTTCAGCTGTTTTTTAATTTTTTTTGAAAGACTTACCTACTTCGCTGTAACCACCATACCTAAAGTTTTTAATTCCTAAGATATTCAGGCACACCTTTGGTATACTGGAGTTAGAGAATTGCTTTCTAGAAGATAATTTAATGTATGGGATATTTATTGCTTCTTAGAGGATATGTTAGGGATAGTTTAATGTGGAATGATATATGATCATGCTAGGAACAGACACAAAATTTCATATGTGGAGATTGAAATAACATTTAGTAGGCATTGTACACTTGTACCTACCTCTTATGAAGTGTTTTTAGTAAAATGTGCAAAATGAGTTCAATTCAGTTTAACAAACACATTGTGCTAAGCTTGGAGGGTGGAAGGAGTTTTTAAAAATAATTGAGACACAGTCCTTGCCTTTTTGGAGTTTATAGCTTGGTTAAGGGCACAGATGGTAAACAAGTAACACTCAAACAGATAAAAGGTGTGCTAAAAGAGATGACTGAGAATGCACAAGAAAGGATCAATTCAGGCTGGTTTATACTTTCAAGTTGCCATTCACTCTTTTGTGCACATTACTCCCGTGAAATTGTTCATCAAAAGCCCATCAGTGACACACCTCTTTGTCCTCATTATAATCTATTTCTCAGGAGTGCCCTCTTTCCTGAAACTCTCCTGTTCCCCCTGCAACTTTCCATGTTCTGTATCTCTTGGCCACTCTTTGCGGGCTCCTCCTCTTCAAACCTCTAAATACCAGGTTGGACTAAACGCGGGGCTCTCTTCTCTATGTGTACTTTTCTATGACTGTAAATGTTGATTATGTAGTAACTAGAGGCCCAGTGCATGAAAATTCATGCACTGGAAGGGGTGTCCCTCGGCCCAGCCTGCCCCCACTCACAATCCGGTAGCCCTCAGGGGCAGGAGGCGACCCAGCAATCAGGGGAAGGCAACACCCCATCACACCTCTGCTGCTGCCACTGCCAGCAGCGCAAGCCTCAGCCGGCCCTGGGCAGCTGGGCAGCTGCCATCTGAAGCTTGCCTGTGCCTCGGGCCAGCCCTGGGCAGCTGTGGGAGGCTGAGGGGACTGGGGAACTCTGGAGGCAGGTGCATGGGCGGGCCCAGCCTTGCCATGTACCTGCCGCCCCGGTGGGACTGAGTGGACTGGGCACCATCATCTTGTGGCAGTGGGCACTGCCATCTTGGGGGGGAGGGGGCAGTCAATTAGCATATTCCCTCCTTATTGGCTGTGGGCGCCACCATCTTTGAGGGCAGGGAAGTCAATTAGCATATCCCAGGGGTGGGCAAACTTTTTGACTCGAGGGCCACAATGGGTTCTTAAACTGGACCGGAGGGCCGGAACAAAAGCATGGATGGAGTGTTGTGTGAACTAATATAAATTCAAAGTAAACATCATTACATAAAAGGGTACGGTCTTTTTTTTCAATAGTTTTATTCATTTCAAATGGGCCGCATCCGGCCCATGGGCCGTAGTTTGCCCACGGCTGGCATATCCCCTCCTTATTGGCTGTGGGCACCACCATCTTTGAGGGCAGGGCAGTCAATTAGCATATTGCCTCTTTATTAGATAGGATAATTCTGAAATTTTTATCTCCAACCTAAATCTTTTCTCTGGCTCTAAACTTGAACATCCACTGCTTGGATGTCACACAGGCATCTCAAATTTAAGATGTCCAACTCTTGATATTTTTCCCTCCCTCTAAATCACTTTCTCCCTTATCTTCTCAATAAATGGTGCCACCATTATCTGTCTGTTTGCTCAAGCCAGAAACCTTGTTCCTACTTTCTCTGATTCCCCCTCATATCCTATTTATCAGTAAGTCCTACCACTTCTCCAGTGTATATCTTGAACTCATCTTTTCTATTTCCACTGCCACCACCCTCGTATGAGCCCTGTTATTAATCATGGAGATCAGTGCTTCTCAAACTCTGGTGAAGGAGCAGCTTTTTGAAATTAATTGTGACTGATACATTTATGCAGTTTTGCCACTTGAAACTAACCATGTCAGGGAGCAGAGAACCTGTTTATCTGTTTAGTAAGATAATCACATTAATCACATCCTGTTGCAGCCATGCCAAATGGCTACAAAAGTTTCTAAACATTTCCTCTCAATTTCTGCAGTTATCTCCTAGACTGGAAACAAGCATTTCTCAGAGAGGCACTGGTTTGCTGACCTTACTCTGAGTAACATTGACAAGACTGTGCTAAAGCTCAACTGGACTGCCTGCTTCTACTCCAAATCTTCTCTAATCCATTTTCCACAGAGTAGCCAGATGATCTTTTAAAGCATGTCAGACCTCACCATTTTTATGTTTCAGACCTTCTAAGAAAGCTTTTAAATAGGCAAAATCCTACTTAATCTGCTCCTGTCTATCTGGCCACCTCATCTCTTAGTACTCCTCCAATCCTGGATTCCTTAGATAAACCAGAATTCTGCCTGGACTTTTCCTTTGCTCTTATCATGGAAGGCTCCTCATCTTGTTTCAACTTAAATATCACCTCCTCAGAGAGTTTACCCAGACTACCTCAGAAGTAACACTGCTCCCCCTAGTCACCTGATCTTGCAGTCACTTTGATAGCATTTACCACAATCTGTAGGTTTATCTACTTGTTTATTGTCTCTTTCCCCTGGTGTAAGGTAAGCATCAAGGGCTGTTACATCTTCTCTGTCTTGTTTGCCAAACAATAAATATGGATTAATCATGAATGAATGGTCCAGGGAGGCTTCATGGAGGAGTAGATCTTTGAGGATATAAAATAGTTGAAAACGAACTTACTGAATTTTACTTATTAGAGTTAATTTCAAGTGTGTGTAATTAGTACTAAAGGTTTGGTGGAGATTAAAAGTTCTGTCTTGTGACACAGAAGGCAACATTGAATAATGGAAAGAGTGCTTTGATGCTAATTAGCTCTGTGGATTTAGGGCAAGTTCCTCCTTTGAGTCTCATTTTTCTTCACTGGGAAAGGAGGGATTTGTTCATGAGGACTTGGAGTCATCTGGGAGGTCATCTGACTACCCTGCCAGCACCATCCTGTATGTATCCTTTCCATTCTAAGATTGTTTGTTCTTTTTATGAATTCTAGAGCTGTTTCACAGGAGTGGAAGAAAAGCTTCCACAAAAGTGAGAGTTGCCCGGGCTGAAGTAGGTGTGTGATCTTTAACAAGTTATAAAATGAGCAAAATAATTATTAGTACTTACATCAGAGGTTGTAAGAATGAAATGATTCATTACCATGCTAAGGTAGTGCTTGGGACATGGTCAGCGCTAAGTGTCAGCTGCTGCTGCTGCTGCTGCTGCTGCTGCTGCTGCTGCTGCTGCTGCTATTGTTAAATTTGAGTACTAATCTATGTCTCCTTTTGGGGGACAAAATTGCTAATTTTAAAAACAAGGGTCATGAACTGCCAATGTGGCTCAGTAAATTGAGTGTTGATGTGTGAACCAAGAGGACACTGGTTAGATTCCTGGTCAGGGCACATGCCGGGTTGCAGGCGTGATTCCCAGTAGGAGGCATGTAGGAGGCAGCCAGTTGGTGATGTTTCTCTCTCATCGATGCTTCTATATCTCTATCTCTCTTTGTTCCCTTCTCTCTAAAATCTATAAAAACATTTTCTTAAAAAACATAAGGGTCATGAGATTGGTATCTGAGCAGGTTTAGTTTAAGGTAAAGGTAGTAAAACAGAAAAATGGGGAGCCATTTGCCAAGGCTGTAATCCATAATAAATTGTAATAAATACTCATGCACCAAATAACTCAGCACTGACATTTCATGAAGCAAAAACTGCAAGAAATTAAGGAAACCTGCAGAAACAATTGCAATATCTACAATCCAATAAAACTAAAAAATAATAAAAATAGAAATAGAACTCTAGCCCCTGAACAATTAGGACATTTTAATTTACATAATTTATACCCCAATCTCCAATGCAATTTTTTTATTTTATGCTGAATTTACCCCCAGACCATAAGTTTTTGTCTCTTCAGTTTCTTCTGGGATATCTTTTTCTTTTTTTAATTTTATTTTATTGTTTAAGGTATTACAGATAGTAGTACATATGTCTCCTTTTTTTTCTCATTGACCTCCCCCGGCCTCCCCTACTCCCCAGTGTCTTGCGTCTGTTGGTTGTGCTTATATGCATGCACACAAGTCCTTTGGTTGATCTCTTATTCCCCCCAACCCACCCCTACCTTCCCGCTGTAGTTTGACAGTCTGTTCGATGCTTCTTTGCCTCTATTTTTGTTCAACAGTTTATAATGTTCTTTATATTCTACAAATGAGTGAGATCATGTGGTATTTACTTTTCTCTGACTGGCTTATTTCACTTAGCATAATGCTTTCCAGTTCCATCCATACTGTTGCAAATGGTAAGAATTCCTTTCTTTTTTACAGCAGCGTGGTATTCCATTCCATAGATGTACCACAGTTTTCTAATCCATTCATCTGCTGATGGGCATTTAGGCTGTTTCTAAATCTTAGCTATTGTAAATTGTGCTGCTGTGAACATATAGGGGTGCATATATCCTTTCTGATTGGTGTTTCTGTTTTCTTGGGATATATTCCTAGAAGTGGTATTCCTGGGTCAAATGGTATTTCCATTTTAAATTTTTTGAGGAAACGCCATACTGTTTTCCACAGTGGCTGCACCAGTTTGCATTCCCACCAGCAGTGCATGAGTGTTCC